AAAATAACTAGAAAGAACATTACTGTGACCAAAGTAAAGAAAGGGGTTTGACAAAACGTTTTTGAACACATAATTTATGTTTCTGTTCACGTATAGCTGAAGCTTCGGTTATGCATAAGTGAAAAACGTAAACTTTTGGATCGATTGGATTTTGCCATGTATATAACTTTGAAAGATGAATCACGTGGGGCTAAATGACGAGACTCTATCTAACAGGTGATCACAAATAGACGACTTCGCAATTCTACGCTCTCCTTTCATTAACCAAACCGGATAGTGTTCAGCTACACGTTTTCGGAGATTACGCTTACAACGTCCAATATAATCAGCTGCACAAGAGCAGGTAAAAGAGTAAATGCACATAGATGTGGACATAAGCGGTAACCTATCCTTGACGCATAGTCTAATCATATTTCGGCTGGTAAAAACTAGATGCAAGTCAGCTGCATGAAAAGAGCGCTTAATGCATTTTTTTTTAAATTGCTTTGATATCACTTCACATATAAAACAATCTTTAATAATTTTGCACTTCATCCACTTCAACTCTACCCCTTATAACATTTTAATTATCGTTATTCTTATCACATATTTATGTATATTGACTGAGCAATTATTTAGTGCCACTTAATAACGTTTTCTGTAATATAAATACGACTGTACAGCTTGAAAATGAAATCGTTGAGAAGAAATTTCTTCGCTGAACAAAAAAACTGTGTTTTTACTTATATGTATTTACGATTGTACACCTATGAAAACGGAAAACTCAGTGAGGCCTTCTATTCAAGTGCATACAGGAGTAAGACAAGCTGGCTGGCTTCCTATCATCACCGATGATATTCTTAATTGTGATGGACTGAATTATGTGTCAGACTGGATACAGGGAGTTAGGAGACAGGTGTACTCTGGACAACCGACGAGAAGACTCTAGAACATCTGCTTAACAAATATGTTAGAGAAAATGGAGATGGATCGGGAATGCATTGAGGAGATCGTCGAATGACATCGCGCTCCAGGCCGTAACTCGAGTGGGACCTGAGTGGGAAGCGACGAGAGGGTAGTCTCAGGGTGACATAGAGGAGATGGTGTGAGGAGGAGATGACAGATTGTGGGCAATTGTTGTCTAAGCTGAAGAGGAAGGCAAAAGATAGGACAAAGTGGAGCTGTGTTGTTGAAACCTTATGTTCCACTAAGAATTCAAGGGAATAATAATAATATTTTGATATTATTTAGCATGTAGACAGTTTAACAAAACTGACGAAACATAGAACGAACTGGTATCACCTTGAAGACATATTCATTCTTTCTTTGTTTAAGCTCTTCCATTTTTGCACTTTCCATCATGTTTCAAATAAGAAATGTTGTTCTAAATGCACGTATCGTCATCTGATTTATGAATGAGTACCGTGTTTGTGAAGTGAAAAGATTTCAACCTTTGTTTATGCCAGCACAATCTGTATCCAAAAGACTATGAACATGACTCAAATTCAGTTTTGAATTTGAAAATACACCTCATCAATGTAGGGTTTCTATCACATGGACTCATTGTTTTGCTTTTGTTTTCTCCACATCTACTCAAAATTGATTCTGTTGTCAGTCTATTATCTGTAAGGTCTTGTAAGACGTAAATGAAGCAATAAAATCACAGGTGAATAAGACTTGAAAATACATTACCATACAAAATTCAGCTAGCTTATTTCTAATACCTGCTAAAGCATCCATTTATAATGCTCTATATTTATTCATATGAATTGATGCATATGGCGTATAAAGGACACAGTTTAACAACAGGACCGCCTTTGTGTTACTGAGGTAGTTTAGAAATATTCTAGAGCGAACGACATCATGCAGTGTGTATGAAAGCATAAGTCAAATAAGACGAGATCTAGGTGCCTTTTGTATGTTGTGTATCTTAGATTTTGTACAAAATTGTAGATAATATTTATGAGGTATATTGAGGTATCCATCATTTCCATTTTTCGTTCCGGCAGATAGTGAAATTTCCAGAAGCAGTAATATGTTTACTTCAAATAATTCTTTACTGCTGATCTTTTTGTGATGGTGTGATACAGACAATGTGTGCCAACGAATTACTATTCTCACAATGAAATCTGGAAATTTAGGCTTACTAGCCAACCACTCAAATTGTCTGGGGTTCATACCCTGGGCTGACTCACTCCGAAGCCAAGTTTATCTGGGAGTAAGCCCAGTAAATAGGGGAGGTTGGACGTGAGGTTACCAATCCCATCCCGTGAAAAACGCCACTGGAGGCTTATGTATTGTATATATATATACATTTTTAAACTTGTAAGTAGGTGAAGATCTTGTCTACCTTCCAATCTTTTAACTGTGACAGTCATTGAGGCAGTACATAAGACAGGTACATACCTATTCCCCGTAAAAATATATTTTTTTATTCAGTCCATGAACTCAGCAATTAGCATATAAGTTAACCAAAATACACAGAATCAGTGTGTATGTGTGTGTGAGAGAGTATTATACCCAAACTTTACTATTCACTGTCTCATGGAATTCGATGATTATGAAGAATATTTATCTGGATGGTTAGAAAAAATTATCGATATCAATGGCAAAAGAAATTATAACAGATTATAAGGTGAGCTTGTAGACCATTAAGTCACTGGGACCCGGTCCAATGACTCATGAATTCCAACTTCTGCCAATTCACGACATAAGGTCCTGGATTCGAACCGTAGTGGTGGGTGCGCACTGATGGGGAGTCCCAAACTAGGACGAAACAGTTGGCTATCCAGTAGTCTCAGGTTTTTCAATGGTTCTCTAACCAATATCAGCTCATGGTGAAATCCTTTAATCAACCAATCAAATCCCTACAAACGAATACAAGAAATTATAACAACTTGTATGACAAAAGCATGGGATAAATGTGGTAATTATTAACCGGCTGAATTAATGTTTTAACCTTTTTCTTTTCTTTTCTCCAAAAGTCGACATCATCATGCCCTACCATTTATAGATTTACTTCAGTTATGTGTAATCCTTACTTCATATATATGAAGCTTTAAAAGCTTCAGAAGTAAATTTAATGTAAATAATAACTTAGGCAGAATAGAATAGAAAAAGCGCATTATATTTTTTAAGTAGCTGTATGCAGAATGAAAAGCTGTGATTTTTAATGCTATCAAAAGTATTAAATACCACGCACACAACATATTTGTCACAAACAATAACAGTATACTATGTAAAGAAATATTCACTTTCTGATGAATCATATTCGGCATTTCTTATTTTCAGCAAACTATATACCACTGTGTTTTAAAACAACCCGATACATTTCTCTAATACAAATAGTAGAATGAATCCTTAGTCATTATACACATAATTTTTCGTATCAGTCTGTGTATACCTTCTTAAAGATTTTTCAAAATTCCTCAACTACTAAACTATGCTATCCAAGATATTTTGTCTGACAGTGTTGAAGTCATTTTGATTTGACACTAGTAACTAGTGTGATGTGTCTAGTCCTGTCTTTGGTACAGACTGGATTCTATCAGTCAGGTTGTAATGTGGCCACCCTCCTAGGTAGCTCGCCATCACGGTGCACATTGATTTGATGATATTAGATAGCTGGAGGCAATCGGTAGGAAGCCTTGGATCTAGGTTTCGTGCTAGTTGGTACTCGCCATCAAGGCGTTTCTGCAACCTTAAAGGAACTCATGTCCCTTCTGAGATTTGAACCCGCATCACGCACTGCTTCAGTGGAAGCGAAACGATTGGTCCTAAGGGAATGTTTGTTTTGTGTAGTTTTTGTCTACCATAGAATCTAGGTAAAATAGATTCGTTAGATTTCATTTGCCATTGATCTTGTTTTGTAATTTGTGCTGATTTCGTTATTTATTTAACGTTGTTCTAATTTTATTATTAAATATCTGTAGAGGGTTTTTTGTCAACTGTTGAGTAACTTTGAGTGAATTCTCTGCTTTCTTCATATAGTCTTCTGTGTCCAGGATTACTGTTGTTCTTCCTTTATCAGCCAGTAGAATAACTATATCTTTTCTATTCTTCAGTTTCTTCAATGCATTCTGCTCTTCAGTGCTAAGTTGGGAATTATGTCAACTGTATGAAACTCACTAGGAGATATCGCTTGATATGCAATAAGTTATGAAGTTTTCATTTAACTAGTTGGCGTTGACTTGTTGGCTTTAATTATTAAGCCAGTGATTGGACAGGCAAAATACAAACTTTACAGCAAAATGGGTAAAATGGTGGATACTTCAGGGGAAATTTTGAATTATTTTACACTAGTGACTTCACTGAAGTTCGTTTTGTACTCAACAGGATATAATTACATATTCCGTGACATCCGTTAACTCTTCAGCACCTCACATCTGATTTTCTAACTAACTTTGTAAAGTTTATGATTACTAAGAATAGAAAGAGATTGGTTCCTTCATTTATCTGGCCAGGAAGCATCGTTTCAAACTACAGGCGGAATGGATGAAGACATCAAAGGCCGTCAGATTTGGAAAAGCAAGATACACTTTCGTCACTCTGAAATCAGTTTGCAAATAATCTGCACTCAGCATAAATAACAAAATTCAGATTTTGAACACCAATTTAGGTCAGTCAGTTCTTCTATTGGTGCGTCACAAAAAGCATTCCAATGGAATACAGACTTCTATCAACAGCTGCCTTCACTCCATATTTAAGATCGATTGGCCAGGAAACCGTCGAGTGGCATCGAGTGGAACCAAAGGAGGTAACGATGAGTGGGCCATTCAAGGGTGACATGGAGGAGATCGTGTAAAAAGAAGTTTGGAGATCATATGCAGTTGTGGGACCAGGTGAAGAGAATCGCAGAAAATAGGACAAAGTGGAGATGTGCTGTTGAAGCACTATGGTCCACTCGGAACCCAAGGGAACAATAACGATAATAGCAAGTCAACGTAACTTTATACAAAGTTATAGAGTGTTTAGAACTAAATTAAACTGGAAAAAAGACAATACTATCAAATATTATTTACCTCATCATCAAGATTTGTGTTTTCCAGATTCAAATACTTAAATTGAACATGTCTGAAAACATTTTCAAGCATATCAATATGTCCTTCATTAAGTTGACAACCTGAAGCGAAGATAAAGTATTGTTATCATAGAATTTAAACACTGTAGTAGAGTATAATTCTACGTCATATAGGTCTATTTGATATAAAACACAGTTATACAGGATTAATAATATGAATAACATTTCGAGCACATTTTATTGCCTATATGATTATGATTATCAATCCTATATCCCTGTGTGTGCTATATTTACTAAGCTAGTCTAACATGAAGCGTTAAACTTAATAATAGTTTACCTTTAAGGTCGAACAAAGGTCTTCGAGCCAAAGACTGTGTAAGATCTATAGGCTACAAGCGTCATTTTTGTCACAGATTTACCTCCAACTGTAGTATAACACTGTACAAAGGTTGAATCTTAGACATATCACAACGAAGTTTATAAGCGGAGATTAACTCCTGAGGTGACAAACGTCGTCCTAAAATTCAAGTAGTATACGATTAATACATGTATATATACATCTATGACTTACTGTTTAACCAAGGATTTTCAGGTTCTACTGCCATTGTAACTAAATCATTCACTTCGGGAAATTTGACTGACTTTTTACGAATTCGCTCAAGTGTAACCGGATCACTTTTGTCTTCTCTCCCAACAAGAGCTAAGCAAACAGATGAGCTACCTACAGTTGTGTTAAAAAAGCAAACACCAATTAATTGAAGTACACTTGGTGTCTTATGAAAGCAGATATTAAGGAGGAAAGTCAACTATATAACACCAAAATTATTTGTATTTATCATATTATTGATATAAAATATTTCGAGAACACTTCTTTACCGTGATAAATTTATAACAGACAACAAATGTGAAAAAGCAGTATTTAATGAATTCGTAAATTTCAGTAGAATTAGTTAGTTAAATACTCTACAAATATTGTTATTTATATAAGTATTTTGTAGATAAGGTGCGTCGGTGGCACAGAGGTAGAATGCTCTGCAGCTATGTAGGTTGTCCGGGGTTCGATCCCCGGCTGACGCACTCCTTTACCTCGCTGTGCCAGTAATTGGGCTGGCAAACAGGAGAAGGTTGAGACTAGCAACCCCCATCCAGTAAAAATAAATAAACACCACTGTTACTGAGACTTCAGGACTGTCAGCTTGAAGCCATATTTTCCACTGGGAACATAAAGGGAAAAACAACTGGAAGTAAGCCTGAATAACAATCCACTGTAGACGACAAAATAGTTGTGAGGTGAATTTTCCAAGAAAAGCTGATCTAACAATAAGTTGACTATAACAATGGATTCTTGTATTGCTCAGCTTACCCCCATTAAACCGCGAAGTAAGATACGTGAACTCCAGTCCAACAGAACTTAAAACAGAAATAATTAAGAAATCTGACAACTAGACATCAAAACATGAATATAAAGTAAGTTGAACTGAAACGATTGTGCGGAGAATTCTTGCCTAAGGAAGTATAACTTCTTCCAGGAAATATGTCTTCTAATAATTGCTAAAGGCAATCAGTTTGCCATTTGCAAGATTATTCTAAGTAGTAGTCGCAGATATGCCTACACTTGAATGGATGATTTTGTTTTCCTTCACGTTCCCAGTGGAACATAGGACCTCAAGCTAGTGGCTTGAAGTTTCTGTAGCAGAATTTGCTTTTACAGGATAAGGTTGCTAGCCTCATGCCCAACCTTTCCTCTTTGCCAGCATTATTTCTGGCTTAGCGAGGTTAAGGAGTGCGTCGGCCGGGAATCGAACCCCGGACCATGTGCATGGTCAGCAAGCATCCTAACCGCTATACCGCCGACGCACTTGAATGGATGATATAAATACTTTTTGTTTGCGTTGAATTTCTTTGGATAATTCAGCTCCAGTGGCCAAATATTTTGTTGGAGTACATATATTCTAATCGAGATTAATTGTAGATGTTCCGTTACCAAATGCATTTCTTTAATTTTCTACATAAACTTAGATAAATAACTCTATGGTTGGTTTGTAAGGATTAGATTTGTTTATACAAGTTGATCACGGATTGATATCAGTTAGAGAACCACTGAAAACCGGAGAGGAGTAATGGACAGCTATTTCCTCAGTGTAGTTTGGGAATCATTGGCAGTACGCACCCACTGCCTGGGTTCGAACCCAGGACCTTCCCGTTACACGGCAAGCTGACTGATATACCATTCAGCCACCGGGACCCGATTCAATGGTCCATGAATTCTAACTTTTACCATTGGTCGGGTCTCGTAAAAATAGATAACTCTACTCAATAACAAGGAATAAAAACGATTTTAAACAAAGGTAGGATTAAATATTGTGTGCTATTAGATTTTCACTGTGGCGCTTACACTAAATATATAACTATAAGTTTACTTCATGTAATTCTGTTCACGTGATTCAGCTAATATTTGTAATAGCTATCAGAAAATAGTGTTTGTCACACAAGGCCCATAAATCCTTTAGTGTAAAAATGAATAATACTGTAATTGCGAGTAATGACAAACAGGTACATGTTAAAATAGACTTGAAATTATAATCTAATAACCTTAAAGGGCACTACATGACACTGATAACAAGGTTAATGTGTGTTAATTCTAACTGTCTACTTAGGTTTGCATTATTCGAATATCGTACATTCCACTAAGGATAGTTGACATCCAGTGACTGCTAAAAGATTACAGCAGTTGCCATCTAGAGTTTGGTAACTCTTGACATTTTTTACCCGAAAGTGGAGTTCTTGGCTGACCACCCATTGAAGCCTACGTCAAAATTTTTAATGGACATATGCAAGCTTGTATTGTTTCCGCTGTGAAACACGTTTTAAAAATGAATAACGGTCATCCAGATTTATTGATAACTCACTGTAATCTTATCCAGTGTAAACAGAACCATAAGAAAGACAGTAGAAGTACATAAAAAATCTGAAATCATTAATTCTAAGAGACTAAATAAGCTGGTCGAAAATGAAAACTATCCACATTTAAACGTTTAGCATATGCTAAATCTTGCTGTATGGTATGACGCTAACAAAATCGATCGTCATTAGTTTACGTTTGAACCTTAGTAAATAGGATTTACCAAATTTCAACTCATACTTTTTAAAAACTAAGTTACTAACTCATGAAAACCACGTCATGCACTTGTAACCCTTGCAAGTATTGTACTCAGATAGGTTTGTTGAACTTTTAGTAAATATCCTATAGAAAATTACCTCAATACTGCTTTGAGAGCCATGCTCTTGTCACAAACCAAAAGGTACCGATAAATTTGGCACAGTTCAACATTATTTCCAATGCAAAATTACTAGAACAAGTACTTCTGAAGATGTAAGCTTCTGCGCTATGCCAATGCTTCTACAAATATGGGAGTTATTTTAGTAGATGCCAGTTAAGTATTATTATGTTATTATTCCTTTAGGTTTAGAGAGGAATAGAAGGTTCTAGCATCACGTATTCATTTCATCCAATTCTCTACAGACCGTTTAGCTTAATTCACATTTTGCCCATTAGCTTTCGCTTCCTCCTAATACGTCGTTTCAGATTGGGGTTCTACAGCGGAGCCTGGCACGCAATGTCACTCATCAGTCTTCTCAACGTGTGTTATATCCATCTCCATTCTCTTTTGCACTTGTGCATGACGATGCCTTCTTGGTTGGGTCGTTGCCAGAGTTTCTTGCTGCTTAAAATTCCTGGCTGTTCACTTGATCTTCAGCCAGTGAAGACAAATGGTAAGGAAAGTATTCAGGATTTTAGAAGAGCTTTTTGTGATGCGCGAAGTTTGTGAACCATTCAGAAGTAGTGATTTCACAATGCTGTTGAATATCCGGGTCTTGTTACACATGTTTATTACAACAGCCTTCTACGCTGATTGCAGATTAACTGGTGCTTGTCTAGCTTTTCCAGCCCAATTCTGGCTTATCTGTACCACCAGTAGTCGAGACGATTATATCTAGATAAGCGAAAGAAATGACTTCCTTTAGATTTCTCCTGCTAGTGTTGACTGATGCTTGCTATTGTTGGTTTGGTATCTTCACCAATTCTGTTTTCTTTGTGTCCACTTGAAGCCCTATCTTCACTGCCTGCCTCTACTGCCAGCTTATTGATTTTCGCTTGTAGATCTTCGAGCTTGTGACACATGATATATAAGTCATCCATGAAGTCCATATCTCCCAGTGTTTCTTGTTGGTCCAGTGTATGTCCGTCTTTCTGCTTCCCATGGTCTGTTGCATGATCCAGTTGACCACAATCAGGAATATTACCAGTGTTAGTAGGCAGTCTTGTTCTACTCCCGTCTTTGTGCCAAAGGCTTTGCTGAGAGCGCAGCATTGCGAGACTACTACTCTGCTTTTTCACGTTGAATATAGCTGTAATTTTCTGGAGAAGATTGATTCTCACTGTATAAGAACTTTAGATACTTTTGGTAACATCATAACTGCCATTCATTCAGTCTGCTTGCGGTTGTCGTTTGGATGACTGGGATGGATTACTGGCTCTTCAGTTGGCAATTTAGACGGTCCATTTCGTCTACATCTGCTCCTACAAATTCCTACCACTTCTATGCTTTCTTCTGCGATATGAACGGTTTTGCCAACCAGTTTTAAACACAGTACGGACATTTCATGCCTCCATGCTTATTTTTGCTTACATCTAAATAAGATACACCGACCAACTGGCTTTCCAATAGCCTTCACTAGCCATTGCAATCTCGTCACCGTCTGATTCCAATGAAGAATAAGTTTATACTTATATTCTACCTGTGCCTTGGATTATCTGCAGCAAGTAAATTGAGTTTCCGCTGCAGATTATCTATCCCTATGCACAACCTATCTTCTTCCAGACTAAGAACCAGCTAATAAACTAGGGAAAGTTGCCATATAGGTATGCATTCCATAATATAAAAGGCGGTATTAAAATAACAGATTTCCGACTACCACAGCATTCGACTATAATGTTCTTAAACGTATGGAAGCTCACCACATAATTTTTATCAAAATCGCAAAATATTTACTACAAGACTTTAATGCTTTTGTTTTCTTCAAAGGTCAATGTATATCAAACAACCATTTCTAGCACAAAAATAGTCGCTTTATCGCATCATGTTTCGGAATTAATTGAAAAACTATGGACACAACTTTCTGGGTCAAAAAATTAGAAAATATAAAGCTTGATGTAAAGACGTTCGTAGTCAAAAACAAACAGTTTAAAAGTCACCTAACGCAAGCGCGAACAGTCTACAAGGTTTTGTAATAGTAATACCTAGTTTCAAAAGAAGCTATTGTGAACTCAGAATTTGATCAGTATTTATGATGCTGAAGGTGATGTCCTATTCACTGAGCTTTTTTACATCTGTTGCCAGCCTTAAGAATTACTCGAAATATTCCTCTTGACAAACTTATGGGACCTTGATTGGAAACTAATCAGTGTCACGTGTCTAGTCCTTTGTTTTTGGTGTAGACTGAATTCTGTCATTCAAGTTTGCAATATGGCCAAATTACTAGGTGGCTCGCCATTACAATGCACCGTGAATTGTTGTTATTAGACGATTAAAGGCTACCGGTATGAAGCCTTGGACCTTAGTTTCGTGTTTGTTGCTACTCGTCCGTTAGGAGTCCTCATATAACTCAGTGGTAACGTCTCTCAATGCACCACTGGGTGGTATGGGTTCGAATCTCAGAAGGGACATGAGTTCCTTCAAGATTGTAAACGCGCCTTCCTGGCGTGTGCCAACAAACCAAAAAGACTAGCTCAAAGGCTTCTCGCAGATTGCCTTCAACCACCTAATAAACATAAAAGAACTTGTAGACGTCTGAAGAAGTTTAAATTTCAAAAGTTTAAAACGTACTAAGTACTTATGATACTTCGAAGGCTTTCGGTTCCTTAAATATGTTATTTAAAGTAAACTTTATCCTACCACTACTGTCCACAGAGAGCACTAAGGTACACTCGTCATTTTTATTTCTGTCTATAGTTTAAAAGACACAAAATTTATATTGCATCCCTATCTTAGATACGTATTTCAATTATTCTGGCAGCCCACCTACTAATTAATACACGACGAGGACAGAGTTCATTTCATATTATGATGTTGATAACACACTAAGATATAATTTTAAGCATGAAATACGACCATTTTAATCAGAATATACGTGAACATATTTTTTATAAAAGCAGGAGTGGTCATTAATTTTAATATATATAACTTCATTTCCATACATATAAGCTAATCGATTCCAGAAGCTTGTCATCTATAGTGAAATACGAATCTTTTGATACTGGTGAGCAATCGTTCTTGTTTTTGAATACACATATAACTTAGCAAACAAAATCGAATGATTGGGTTTCCAGTTTATTGCGCTGGGACTGACCGTTAGATAAGAAGGTTTAAAAGGAATCGTCTAACATCAGTGTTTGGAGATTCTTTTTGAGAAGACTGACTGACGACGAGGAATAATGATTACGTAAGGTACTAGAAGCATCAATGTAATGATAACATGAGGTTTGTTTTTCAGGCTTGTCAAAAGATTATTATTCCTTGATAGTTACAAAGGTTCAACTTTGTCGAAAGTGACTGCAAATGCATACATGGATTGAGAAACAAAGACAAAAGGTTGACTTTGATTTGCTGGAATAAATAAGGTGATTAGAGAAATGAAAATGTTTTCTCTCATCTATACTCTGTTCTTTTTTGGGGCTTGTCTCTTGAAAAGGTTTGAATTCACGAACATATATTTTTACACTGACTTCTAACTTCTTACAACAACAAGAGAACAGGCAGGAAATGTTTACTTCTGAATTTGACTTGAGATGTAATTATAAAAGGCAGAAAAATTGGAGTGAGCTTAAGTCCCAAATTTTTATCAGACTTATTGCAGTGGATACAAATGCATTCCTTTCTACTTATGGGAATCAAGGTCTTTTCAACTATTGATAAATTACAAAAGATTCTCTTTAAAAGCTTACAATGATTCTGAACTTATTCTAACCTATTCTTCGATAATGCCTTCTTATGGTAAATGAGGAACTTATCTATCCACTATGTTATGAAATAACGCCGGTCGTTCTTAACAAGAGACCTGGGCGCTAAATTAGGTTTTTTATTTCTGAAGTAACGCTTGTTCGTGCTTAATATGTCCTGCGAGGGCTGGAACAACGCTGATCAGCAAACCCAGTGGGTTCTGATCTACTCCTGAAAAATCCTGGAAAAAGAACACAGTGCTGAATTATTGTCAGTGATACTGAAAAACAGTATTGAGTTCTAGTATGTGTCATCAAATAACCCATTTCAGAACAGAATGTTAGAATTATTTCAGAATTAGTGAGATTTAATTCCGCATTATGGTAAGCTTGGGTATTAAGTCAAAAACAAATGTTATCTTATATAATTGAACTAACTCAATAAAATGTAACACTGTTATCTGCATGGAACAAAAACTTACGCTTTTGTTTATATTCAAGACCGTCTTCGACCATAACGATAACAAAAATGACATTTCGTATTACCTCTAGTAGAAAAATTGCGCTACTATATCTGTGCGAATAAACAAAACAAGCTAAGACACATCATCAAGTGTTATAACAGATGAGTCCTTACACACACCAGATATATAAAAAAACACAGTTATAAATATAACTCTATTTCCGAAATGCATTAAATAGTTGCGACGCTGGTTTTTAACTGTGGTTATAGAATACAGGCGATATAATACCATTCGAACACCATTCTGATAAAAAACTGAAGCCGACAAAATAATGTGAAAAATGCAGTTGTTTATAAGCCGATGATTAGCTAAAGGCCGAAGTACTGATGTTCGTCGATAATCTAGTGGTGAGAAATAATAGTGTGACGGTTTCTACTGCATACTTGAGATAAATGAGTTGTAGGTCACACTGCGTCCACTTTACAAGGGAAATGCCTCTCCCCATGTTTATAGCACATCACTGAGCATTGTTTACAGATGAAAAATTTGAAGGTATAAGCTCAAATGTTGTCACAGTTACGTTTAATACAGCATCGCCTACCATCGGAGAATCTTTCTGCTATAAACATAGGATAGATAAAATCCGCAACAGCTATCATTCACGATATACAAAAACAGAGGGTTGTGTTGTAAGAGAGAGTTACAGCCATGTTTCATTTTGCGAACAAACACATCGAAGCCTCATGTTCTTCAATAAAGAAAATTAATGGCGGAGAAAATGAAAAAACAATTCGCTTAAGGGTACAAGCGGAATTAAAAATGCTTGAAGAGAGTATTTCCTGTTGAATAACGTTTCAAAATACGTTAAACCTTCCTTTTCAAAGTTCGGAGGCATATAAAGCATGTTATAAAAAACTTAGGTAGAACTAGTATCTCAAGTATAAATGTAATCACTGGTTAACCTAACTACAAACTTACAGCCTTGACGCTCGTTAAATGCCTGCCTCACTATACCTTTATTCGTGTTGTTTAGAATTCCGAATGACATGGAGTAAGATAACAGTTTTACTGGTTATCATGTATAAATCACATATTGTTATTCGGGTAACTAGCTTTCCTTCACCAAAAGCTACAATAACTTTCCGGTTTCTTCATTATGAATCTTCACTGACAATTATACAGAACCTGGAAAGGTGACTTGATAACATTTAAAAGTATCGAATTAATGTAGTTTTCTATTATTATCCTCAGTTTTCTTATAATAAACACTCCATTTGACCACAACCAGTACTTCAGATGGTCTTCCAGTTGTTTCTAAACAGTACCAGGGAGGTTAAAGTGTGTTTTGTGATGTATACTGAAAATTTAGATGATCTATGGTTAAGCGGAACTTCCTTGATATAGTCTCCTGGGTAACGCTGCCTGGACGAATTCAATCGGTGAAACAGCCCCTCAGAAGCTTAAAGTAACGACAACGGCCCAAATGTCTGGAACGAGAAATTCGTTTTTCTGTCTGTGTGAATAATTTCAAGCATGCAGAATATGACTAAAAATAGTGCAATATTTAGGGCTTCTGAGTCGTCACTGACTTTCCACTTTAAAGCTTCCGTTTCTGCACCAGAAGCGTTCTTGCATGAAATGCCAATGTTGGTAGAGAGACCGTCTGACAAACAATTCAGGAAACATTTGATAACAAACAGTAATCATCACGAGATCCAGTGCGGTACCACATTATTGTCAGCATGAGACAGCTAGAGAGCATTCCTTTACTTTCACTTAGCCTTCTCTGGTAGGTCCTCACTTTGGAAGCCGGCAACGCATTGCTGTACGAGGTTGTAGCCTACCTGTAAATCGAGGAAGTCCGTGCAAAGGAAATTCACGTGCTATTTCTATTGAAAACGTTTTCCTCGGTATGTAGTAAAGAGTTATTTGATTGATTGCTAATTCTGATTTCGATGAATAATCTGCCTTATAAATTTGGCTGCCTTATTCTCCGCCACCTAGGTGTTGTTTTATTGAGAGGACTATAAAAATTGAGAATCGTTTGTCGGGGTTGCATGAAGACATACCACCCAAAGGCTGGACCACGGAAAATGGACCAACACAAAACGCTGATAAATGTTGAGCCGCGTTCGCCCCATGGTTAGTGTATTCACTTAATGTTTATGTAGAAGTGTCCCATCAAACACAAGGACAAAACGTGATAGAGGTCTCCTGCTGAAGAAAAAGTTACATGCAAGCAGTAAATCCATAACAGAGAAAACGGAAACCACCACGTCATTATAATAATAGTATATTTATTCTTATTTACGTATGACAAGAAGTCACCGCGTTTCTCAGAGTGGGGTGACGAAAATCATGTTAACATGGAAACTCGCGTAGTTTTCAGGATGTAGCCTACGCTCATCTAAGAATCCTCGCTGGTTTTAGTATCATAATACCATGGTCAGGACCTTGAGTTTTGCTGGAAACTCTAAAAACTTAGAAAACTCCCACTGGCATAAGTTAGCGCTATTGTAGCTGATGGCGACAGCCGACCTTTAATATCTGAGACGTAAAACATAATACTTAGTTGACAGAGGTGTCGAAGTCAGTGCCTTTTCGCCACTGAGGCTGATCACCAGGAGGAGGTCACTTTCGATTTGCGGGCTGCAAGCAGAAAACCAGTCGCAGCTTTCCGGGTGAGATATGTCCATATGAACCTGGGGGGTATGCAAACTGGTTCGGTGGATGTTCCTTCCTGTGGCATTACTAGGTCTACTTAACTATCGTGATTGACTCGCGTACGTCCAACACTGAAGACTGTCTGTTAAGGGATTTTTCAGTTTAGACTAAAGGCTGTCGCTGACTAGGAAAACTGTAGTTGACTCAAATCTCTTTTTGAGCGACAAGATTCATGAAGTCTGCGGTAATTCTGACAGTCTAAAATGGACATATGCGGCGCGTAATCCCGTAACAGCTGACCCAATCTTTCTACTAGATATTCCACTAGCGGAATACTTGTTAGTACCCGTAGACTAAACCGGTGTCTCGAAGATAATAAAAGCTTTGAAACGACGCATAGAAAAAACCGTTTGGGACGAATCATGAGCATCCTAGAACACCTTTATATTTATCTTGCAGCATAAGACGAGTGCGCCCCCATACTTTTCAAAAAATACCGATCATGCTTACGGAACTTTATTGCTATATGTGAATTAGTTTCCGTTTGCACTCTTCGTCATGAATTTAATTGGATTTATGACCATACATTAACCGTGTACTGCCCTGCAAAATATGATTTTTCTTGTGACATCCCACTCCTCTTACCTTTTCCCCTTATCACGTGGTTTGTGTGTAGCGACTTGGACGTTGTTTTAGCAGGGATTCTTTGACAGGATTCTCATCGTTCCTGTTTCGTTTCTTAGGTGCGACTAGCACTAGAAAAGAAACAAGAGAACCAAAATGTTCAAGGGACAAATGACGGAACGATGTGCACATATCCCATCAGCAGACGACCAGTAATCTACTCGTTACCATTACATTTGTAGTACTCCTATACCAACTGTAAACACGCTTTTTAATCTAATTTGTATACTTGTATTATATGTGTACACAGACCAATTTCATATGTAGTTCGCAGGCATTTGTCAATTTACTGTTGAACATTACCTTGACACAATTTTAAAATTTGACTACGGCTATAATACACAATCGTACTCTTCGGAAGTGCCTTTTTGTTTTGCGTTGTGGGCGTCGAGTAGCCACATCGTCTATGCACATTGACAAGCGTGACGAAGTACTAGGAGATACGTGTACATTGATTTAGTCAAATAACGCAAGCAACAAATTGGTGAGCCCGACGCACTCATCGCATGTTTTACTAGTGGTACCACGATTGGCTGATTACTTACGTCTGGTTTTCTATTGAGGTGCTCACGACCTTAGCAGGAGGGAGTGAGTTATGGCAGCACACAGTACCCCAAAATTATTAGCCTGCAGCATTTTTTACTCAATACTCGATGCTGGCATTCACGGTTTGGTCGGCTCACTAAACTGGAAGTTCACGTCCAAGCATCCACCTTTTTTGGCAAGCTGTAGCATTTGAGCGTTCGCAGGGCCCCCTCGACAGATGAGCAATTGTCGTCGCACTGACATTCTGGCCCTGAAATTTATCCTGTATTTTGGAGACCGATATGGTGTTTTGATTTGTCTTTGCTCTAAGCAGAAAAAATTCTATAGGAGCTTGGGGCTGAGAACTTGCGTTGTACACACCGTACTTTCCGTAAGCGCCCACATCCCTCCATCCTCAATAGTCCCCTTGACCTGATGAAATTGGTTCCGGAGGCTTTTCTGGTGGCACCGAGGTTGCCGGAAGTGAGAATAATGGTGCATGGTTCAGGTGACCTTTGTCGTTATCCTCGGTGCGACCGATAAATGCCGGTTTAACTCTACCATCATCGACGGTCTAAGCTTTATATACACATAACTTCGCCATTCCCATTTAAAACTCACAGGACCATCCTAGGTTGGTTAAGGCAGTCTCTGGACGCCATCTGTTTTGGGGAAAACCTGAGTGCAGTCTACTAATTATAGCGCGGTGCAAAGCGGTCATCGTATTTGTCGCGGAAGTGATGCTTTAAGCTCATTCATGTGGTGCTTTAGAAGACGCATGTCAATGTAGTTGAAGATTGAGCGATCAATTCATGGTTGTTTGCTCAAAACCAACTTCCCCATTTTTCGCGGAGGTGTAAGTGCCGGGGCCAGACTTAAGATAGTCCTCGATATCACCACACTTACTAAAAACTTCACCGTCTTATGACTTCACCAGTACTCTACCTAACGTGTAAGTACTGATTAACTCAATCACACTTTAAAGGCTAGAACTGGAAAGAATTCTTAGTGTGAGTTGTATTTAACGTAACTGAATAACAGATTTAATAAATAAGGTGACTGTACAACTTATCTGCAGACGTTGCTGGAGGTAGGCTCGGAGAGTGCGCAGAAAGAGAGCACAACAAGGGAGCGAACAAATGGACGTACGGAAGACTCACAACTCAAAAGACAAAAAGTGTATAGCCATGGGTGAGCGAGTTAAAACAAAAGTTCACAGGTACAATGTGCACTAC